TTTGGCTCTGGTAGGTCTGTAAGTGCAGCATAATGTTCAAATGTACAATCCAGGCATAGATCTTGGTGGAGATCCGTAGGTCTGGGTCTTTTTTATTCTTTCCAGTTGGAATGGCATCTTACAGACAGTGAGCAAACTCATTTTAAATCCTGCAGTTTCCTTTTCACAGCATATGATTAATACCTCTCTTCCCCCACCCCTCCAGTTTTGTCCTGCTACTATCGTTATATTTGCTGTGCACCAAACATGTAGTTGGTGTTTCACGTGCAAAAGTGGAGTGTGCCTAACGACAAAAGCTGTAAGAGTCTTTACATTGGTGTAATTAAGCACTCAAATAGGTGTTTGAAGAATCAGGAAGTGGGCAAAGACCTAGAACAAGTGGGACAAATGCCACTAAGACCTTGAGGTTGTAGGGTAAGTTGCATGTTTTTGAGGACCTTTTGTGTCATAAAGCTTCAATTATTAATGTGGTAATACTCGTATTTTCTAGTTCCGGATTTTACTATTGACTTCTTGTTGTCTCTGTAGCCCCTTGGTTCTCATGGCAATATCATTTTGCTTCTTCTGTCTCCCTTTTCTTCTTTATACATCAGTCTGTGCCTGTGAGAGGAGTAAGAGTTCAGGAAAGATCGTCTCTAGCGATGCTGATGAGGTGTGATGTTTGCGATGGTGTTAAAAGATGTTTCTTCTATTGTCACAGAGCCCTTTCCTTCCCAAGGAGCCCCCCTGCTTTATTAGCTCACTAGATGCTGGTAGGTGTGCAGTGTAACTACAACTGTGGTTGTTGGATAACTTGTTTTTACAAAATTCCTTTAGACCTGTTACCTTTTTCTCATGAAGCAGATAGGTTAGAAAAGAGATGTTATTGGTAGATGAAACTTCAGTTCCTTGAGATCCTAGCCATACCCAAGGCACAATAAAATCTATGGAAAATATTGATTGACTTCAATAAGCCCAGGACTTTACTATCAGTATCCAATTTTTACTGTAGTTATGGTCCTCACAAATGTGCTTCCTCTGTGGAAGAGGCTTTTTGAAAAGCTTTCAGACAAGCCTTTCCATCAGCAGAGTGGCCACAGATCAAAAGCTTGAACTGCTCAGACTATGTCATAGATTTACACAATAATATAATGAGAGAGCTGTGTATTGCATCTGGAAATTCAGCCGAGAGCCCCAATCAGATGATGCTGAGCTCTGTCATTAAAGAAAATGCCAACCTTTCCCCAGGTGCCAGGAAGGCAAATGAATACAAAGGCCAGAGCTGGTCAAAAATCATAGATTTTTTTCTTTCTTTTTTTTTAAATGTCATTAATTTAAAACAAACGAAAAAGCAACCAAAAAAAACAAATTTTCCTGATTTAGTAAGAGCATTGAGCACTACACGTTCCTTAATCTCCTATTTCCTGCATCGCAGCTCCCACCCAGCCAAGGCTCCCTTTTCACAGGGACTTTTTTCCCGGGATGTTTTATACAGGGCTGATCCTTTCTATTTGACAAGGAAAGGTGACTGTAGCCATAAACAACCATTTTATACTTTGTAGCTGCTTTCTGAATCACCTTCTGTAAGGTGGGTAAATTACTCTCGTGTTTTTCTTCCTTAAAACAAAAGGGTAAGTTTTCTATAGTCCAGGAAAAAGAAAAGGCAAAAGTCAGACCTCAAATTTCCAGTGTTCCCATAGTGAGCCAGTGAACTCTGCTATAGAAAGTTTTAGAAATACTCAGACTCAAAACAGGAAACAAAACATTCCCCCTGCCAGAGCTGGTGTGGCATCTGTAGCCTAATGTTAAGATTACTTCTGCATTACTGGTCAATTAGTACATTAAAAGTACCTGCACACCCAATAAGCGGACTCTCTGAGTCAACTGAGGCTCTGTATACCAAGTCCAAACTTGGTTCTGTAATGACATCGCTGAGTTACCGAAAAACAAAATATCAGGACTGAGTGCAAAAGTGGTAGAAGGATAAGGGAGACCTCATTAAGAGACCTCATCCATTTGATTTGCTTCTGGTTGTCTTCAAGACTGGGAAAACTGCCTTTTCCTGACTTTGGTTACTAGAGCTCTGAACTTCTTGTTTCGGTGTCAGTGCTAAGTAGTCAGAGCCTAACCCTGGTGACAATGCAAAGTGAAATTAATATTAGACTTGTGTGGATCAGAACTCTTAAGAATGTTCCCCTTGACCCTGCCCACCAAAATCAACGAGAAAAGCCATCCTAGGGAGCTGCATACAGACAATTCTATTAAAAACCAGTTCTTTAGATAGAAATCTGAAATTAGGATTTTTAGTCAATTTTCCAACTCAAACTTCGCCTTTGTTTTAGGCAGGCTTCATGACGCCTGGACTTAGTTGGTTTCCACAGGGTCGGAGCTTGCTTCCATTTATGTAATACATACGTAATAGAGGAACGGACTAAGGGTAACGTTGCAGAGGTAGCTATAAATCTTGAGGGCTTATGTGTATGCACGTATATTTCTAATTAGGTGTAATGCATTGCTCCCTTCAAACTGTCGGTGTGATTTTTTGTTTGCTCAACCCTGGGCACTTTACCTCTGCTTTTATACCTGCTCATACTATGTCAGTTGTCGGTATTTGGAGTGTTTGACATAGCTGCTGCCATTGTAAATTGAAAGATGGAACCATGGGCCAGATTGCTTTTATCTGCTATCTAGTTTTGATCTTTTCATCTGCTCTTTGCCAAGTAATGTCAGCCATGATTATTTCTAACTTGCCAAAATTCTGAACGGCTTTTAAACAGGTGACATTTTCCTATAAAAAGACTCTACCACAAGCACGTTTCTTTTTCCAGCCCCGAATGTCACCTTTTCTCCCATAATTACAGTGGTCTAAGTGACACATTTCTGGACTACTGACAGTTTTAAAGATTTGCTGTTTGTGGGTATTGCAATTACTGTGCATTACTTTCTCCCTTCTGAGAGGAGTGAAATTATTTCCATAGATGTTGCTGCCTTCACAGTTTTGCCTTTGATTTTGCACAGTTGGCTCTAGACTAGATCTAGATTTGGAAGTAGCTGGCAATAACTTAATGTCAAGCAAATAAATAACTTTGGACTTTGCTGCTGCCATCACTTAGATGAAATCTTTCCTTAACTTATTCTTTCTTGCCCAGAAGCATTTGCAAAAGTCTGTATCGTGGTAGAGTTTGTGGGCAAATATTTTTGTGCCTAGGGTCACTTACGGATGTTAATGATACCTCTCATTACAATTATTCTCTTGTAAGGGTACATATCTTGCAAGTGTATGCCCTGTATAAGTGCAGCTTTTTGTGATGATGCCGTATTTAGCCCATTGGATGCTGATGATACTTGGGGTCCATGTATTTCTGCTGGCATTCCACCTCTTCATGTAGAGAAAGAATAGGTTGAAAATGAAGATAGTAAGCTTACTGGGCAAGTCTAAGTTCACCATTTACTTGCTCTGTTTTATGGGTTTCCATTTAAAACCACAAATAAAACAAAGTGATCAACGAACATCCCATGACATCATGCAGTTTAAGTGACAGATACTGTAAAAGAAATATAATAGTTCTTTGTCTCCTCTTTTGTTTCAAAATAAACCCCTGGAAACACCAGACACACAAACCAGAGATCTACTTGTGGTCTACTCGCCGTTTATTCTATATATCATAGCAAATGCTTCCAGGGCAGACTTACACAAGTCATCTACAAACTCTAGAAGGCAGATTCTCACAACTGTATTTGAACACTAATTACAGATTTTAGTATTTCAGGTTTGAATAGCAAGCTGCATAAATCTGTTTGTTGGTCTGCACTGCAGATCTCTGGAACGACAAGAACTGCACCACGGATTTGTAAAAGAATCGACTCCTTTATTGATTACTTTTGGACAATTGTTTTTTAATTTATGCACACTTAGACAATTGCATCCAAAAATTGCCTACATAAATTAGGAGCCTGGAACAGGAATTTAAAGAATGGAAAGAACAAGAGCAACAATAGACTTCACAGTCAGTCTCCTTTAAGTCCTTGGTATAGTCACAAAGTTAAGATACAAAAGCATTTGCAACAACAACATAGTGGGCAGAGAGTATAAAAGAGAGGCCATGCAGCCATTAAGGCAATTAAGAAAGATTAAGATTGCTTGTGGTGGAAAGACCCATTAATCAATAGGCCAGAAATCACAGCATGTTATAGAATATACTTCACAAAAAAAAAAAAAAAAGAAAAAAAAAGGAAAAAAAAAAAGAAGAGAGAACAAACAGGCTAAATATATCCCATACCAGAGTTCCCATTAATGGGAAATCATATTAATCCCTCAGATACTGTTGGCTCCGTAGTTAGGTTTTCCCTTTGCACACATAGGAACAGCACTGATGAAATGCATGGTAACTGATGTACAAACCAGCAGTACTTGTGGAGGCAAAACAGAGCTAACTCAAGAGGGAAAGAGTGGATGCTGCTCAGCCTTCTGCAGGAGAGGGACAGGTATTACAGTTATTCACTGCCAGCAACAATGATGAACAAGCCCCCATTCACGACCCTAAAGCTCCTGTACAAAGACAACACGATGCCTGTCAGGAGGATGGGTAATTGAAAATCCTTACATTTGCAAAATGCCTATGGGCATCTAATGCAAGTCTTCATATGGTAATGAGGAGAGGAAACAAAGTGGGAGGGCTACTGAGCGTGTTAAAACTTGCACCTGAAATAATTGAAAATTGGCTTAGACGGGCATGTAACCAGGCTAAACCAGCTCTAGGGCACTCAGCTTCATCCTCAGCAGCAAGGTCACCACCCAACTCCAGGCCCTATGCCTGTTGTCTGAAGGAGCAGCTACAGGTGGGCAGGAGCTGATTTGCTAACTGGTTTTGCAGAAAGAGCTACAGCTGTTTGGGTTTTTTTGGTTGGGTTTTGGTTGGGTTTTCTTTTAAAGTAAACTGAAAAGCAGAGGTGGGAATAGGTAGGTTTTTTTCAGAAGAGGTTGGGTTCAGTAATTTTTTGAACCTGAAACTAACTCCTCAGGAATTTTCTGCTTCTTGACTCAAAATGAATTTTTATTCACTGATTTGAGCCAATAGTATGGAAAAATAATTTTAAATTATCAAAATAACTGAATTGAAATAATTTTCGATTACAAAAACTACTGAGTATTATAAACACCCAAACCATGCTGGTTTGGTTGATTGGTTCGCAAGCATTCTTGAGATGTATTGTTGTTTCAGGGAGGGGTTTATTTATTACTTTTATAGGTTTTCTAGTTGCCATCCAGGTGAGGAAAAGGCTTTCTTACAAAGCTGAATGTGATTCTGGAGTATATAGAAACAGATGAGGCATCTGGACTTTTACATTCATGAGGCAAATCATCACTTTGGGGTTTTTAATGTAGTCAGGGTATGTTTCAGGGAGTGTTTCTTTGGTTAACATTACCAAAAGATACTGTTAGAGGCACTATAGGAACCAGGATTGCTTAAGAAAAGAAGGCTGGTGTCATACTTACCTTATAGTAGCTTTGGTGTATAATGATAATTATGGGATGAAAATCTGTTCTACTGCAGGTATTCTATTATTTCTAGAGAGGTCAAGTATACGCAGATTTCCCTTAATTTCAAGCGGGATACAGGCATCTAGATTTTCTTAACATCTATTACTTCATTTCTTTGTTTTAGCACAGAAAAACTCACACAATTCCCAGAAAAGCCAAAGACTCAAATAACAAGTATCCCAAAGCAGTTGATTTTTAGGATCCTGCATCATTATGAAACAACATGAGCTGATATAGGGCACCTCTGCTCCAGCTTTTGCTGGCAAATAATTTCTTTGCACAGGTTCTTCATAGTTAAATAGTGTAGTAGCTTTTGGCTGAATAAGCAAGCCTGAAGAGCTGGCTGTCTCCTTGACTGCAGAGAGCAACAGCCTTTTCCTATACAGCAGTCGCATTGTGCTTTTGAAGATCCCTGAGTCTATTTTGATACCAAATATGTGTTATTGTTTTGGGAGGCAAAGGCACTGGGTTGATGTCTGTTGTCTGCAGTGATAGAGAAGCCTGGGGTTTCAGGATTCTTGATCTTGGTGCTATTTATATTCTAGTAAACAAATATTTTATTGTTGATGTGTGGGTGTTCAGCTGTCACAGTAGTGTCTGAGAATATTAGCCAGTTTTTAGGTGCTGTACGTCTGTTGTCTGCCATTCCTGTTCTATGTATAATCACCTCACCGTTCTCCTCTTGCTGCTTCTCAATTTTACTACATAAACACATCTTCTATCATATTGTTTATCCATGCATGGAGCAAGAAAATAATCTGACTGCACCATTCTGGACCTCTTGACATTTAGAGAGAGTTGGGATTTAGACATACCATAGAAGGAATTGCACTACTCAAGATGCGAAGTGATTAAGACGTGAACAAGGATTTCAGCAGAAGCAAGGTCAAGGTAAAGATGAACTCAGGCAGAATTTCAGAGGTGGGAATAAGGAGAGTGGGAAAGGTAGTTTGGTGCTATGAAAAAGCAGTTTATTGTTTTCAATTTTGCACTGCTGGGATAGAAATATAAAGGCCTTTAATATCCTTTTAATTATGCCATGCTTCTCAGAGCACGGAGATGGCAAACACTGACACGTTGCTGCAGTTCCCTTTGCCTCCCTCTGATTCTCTACTTCTCCCTCCTCCTGATTCTTTTCCCTATTTTCTTTTGCTAGATGCTTGATTTGAATGGTTTATATATACAAATCTCTTTGTTATAATTGGCTTTTACAATTTTCATGTATTTCTGTTCTCAGGAATTCAAGAACTCTTCTGGTGTCAAAGAAGTCACCGCAGCTCTTACTCCCTATGTCTGATACCAGGGAGGAACAACGCTTCCATGGAAATAATGTTCAGTTTCCAGGTCAGTTTTGTTTTGCTTTTCTCATTATCTGTCCTCCCATAATAGCTCTTTCGCATGCAGAATAGCTTGTAGGTATTAGATCTGCTGATGGAAAAACTCTGGTCCAGCCACAGAGAGAACACCCACCCTTCCAATGCACTCATGCTATGCAGAGGAAGCTATAAAGAGAAATGGCAAGGAGGGAAGGGTTAAGTGCAAATCTTTGCAAGGGGACATAAAGGCTGGTGTTTCATAGTTTAAGAGTGCCAGATTTAGTAAGTTTTGTTGGTTTTTTTTGTTGTTAAAAATCTCAGTGCAATTCTTTTTGATGCTTATATGTTAATTCCAATGTACACATGTAGATGTTAGCCAAACTATTTGCCTTTTCATACTAGAAAAACCTAAACAGCTATATAATAAAATAGATAACCTACCACCAACATCTGCCAAATGTTTTCATTACAGTCTTTTCACTTTTCCTTTTTCCAACCTTTTTTCTTTTAGATGTCTTTTAATATTGCCTTAGGTGATGTAGCATCATGCTAAAAGTACAAGTCAACATTTAATGACACGTTTTAACGAACTGAAAGTAAAACTTACCTTTTTTAGTATTGTTATTATTTTTGGTACTCCAGATCTTAAAAATGTTTGGGCATTTTACTCTTGGTTGGAATTTTAAAACCCCTCAAACTGTGGCACCTCTAAAACCTCTGCAAAATGGATTTTTCATTTTCTTTGTGGCTTTTCATGGCTATGGGCATCTGCATCAAAAGAGAAAGAATTTTTGAGTACAAGTTCCTGATCTCATATCGTCCTTCAGGTTAAGCACCCTCGCTGATTACCACTGCTCCATTTAAACAGGAGGGAGGCAACCTCTTCACAAGCTGAATGCCATTTAGGGCTCTTAGGGTGGATGCAGTCACTGTGTTGATGAGAGGTAGCGCGGGCAGCACCAACTTACCCTTTCACATGTTATCGAGCATGCGCTGTCATGAGTCTTGTTAACGGGGGAAGAAAGGTACCTCCTACTCAACTTCCTCCCCCACTGATAAATTGCTAGCACAGCTTTGAGTCAACAACCTTAAATGCCATCAGGAAACCAGTTGGTGGCCAGCATAGATCCCAGTGAGAGAAACTGTTTTGCAAACCTGACACACTGCAGCAATTTCAGTTCCTGACTGGGTAGGACACTGTGAATTAGAGATGATGGGGGCATACGAAATGGTAAAGAAGTTTGTGCTTGACAGAAGAGCTTGCAAGCAGGGCTAAGAACAGGAACTTGTATTTTAAGTCTAGGAACGGTTGCAAAGATGATGTTCAGCTTTCCATCGCTCCCCTCAGTTTTCCAATAGCTTAAAACCTAACTGTACAGCCCAGCTGCCATCACAAACAACAAAGGTCTCACTTTTCTGTCAAAAAGCAAGACAAGACATACTTCTCATCCCCTTCCATAGCATCTAACTCTTCCTTACCTACATGAAGTTCATCCAGTGAGCTGTTACGCATGTGCAGTCCTCCTTGGGGTGCCAGATAACGTATTCCACTCCTTCAACCAGAATAGAAATGGAGCTGGACATGAGAAGTGCCTCTGGAAACTGGATATCAAACACGGGGCAGGTACTTCTATAATGTCTATGAAATTTTCCACAAAGAAAATGAGCTATTGCTCCAAATAAGTACCTTAGTAATACTCAGTAGGAATGCCTACTCACTGTAGGAATGCCTACTTATTTTCATTATATTTTCCCAAGAAACAGACAAATGACTTTATTACTGCAATCATATCCATCTTGAATATAAATGCTACCTTCCAGATATATAGCCCACTTTAGCCAGCAGGCTTTACCTGTTCACTTGGCCAATAATAGCAGCCAAAATTTGGTATCACTCGATCTTCTCTGTTATATAAAAAGATCAGTCCCATTCTGATTATTTTTGCTAGTATATAGTGCCAGGTAACATTGATAATTCTTTTCATTTAATAGGATTACCTTAAAAAGAACAAAATCGCTGGATATGGGTTTTTTAACATTGTATTTCTTTCCATGAACATAAAATTATCTTTTCTAAATTTTTATGTGTTTAATCTATGATTTAAAATAATTTCAAAACAAAAATTAAATCAGTTTAATTAGTTCACATATACTTTACAGTTTGTATTAAGCCTCTCATGGAAGAGGTGGCAGATGTAGTGGACCTTCAAATACTTCACATCCACCACCACTTTGTGCATTTACATCTGCAGTTCAGAAGGTGCTCTTGGTACACATGAACAGAACGATGTGCTGGAAGTTGAACATATCTTGAAACAGCACATGAGATTCATTCATGTTTGTTTTGAAGTTTCAGTGAAACCTTCCTCTCAAATTTACCATAGTAAATGTCTAATGATTAAAGTATAAATTAATAACTATGCAAATACAATTCAGTAAATAAATTGACTGTATTGATGTAAGCAGGCATTATGGAAGTTAAAATACATGGGAAATGAAAACAAATCTAAAAATATAGTTCATTCTCAGTTATACAATGAAAAAATGTCTGGTTATTTATTGTTCATTGACAAATATTTTTATAGCAGATGAAGCATAAAGAAATTTTGCACAAGAACAGTTCTGGAAAAAATTCAAAAGAATTCCTTGCTAGGTGTGATGTTGTGAAATACCATAGATTTTTGAGCTCCATATGTACTTTTATCCTATTGTCTGTATAACTTGAAACACTGAAGAACAAAAGGTTGATGTGCACAGCAGAGGTAGCTTTTCTGAGATGCTTTACCTTTTGGTTCACAGGCAATCTAAGTGTTAATAGTCATCATGTTCTAATTTCCTTATTCCTATGCCAAGCTCAGAACCACTTAGAATTAAGACTTCTGTTTTGCTCTTATTGTATATGGTTTTGTCTGATTTCACTTCAGCTTGTATAGTTCCACCTAAATAAGCAACTGTGCATGATTGCTTTCCAGCTTCAAACCGTGACATGTGGAGGAAATAAACTTCCCTACGTGTTTCTGGTAAGAGGTGATGTCTGCATGTTCATTTTAACATATGATTTCAAAAACCGTGAAACCCAAGTCCTGCAATTAGATATGTGTAGTTTCCACTGCCCTTTTTCAGTATCTTTTTAAAACCTTCTTCAAGGCATCCTGACCCCCTGATGTAAGTTATTATTGTCTTCAACATATCACAGTGTTTATGAGAATCCTTTCTTTTCCTTTTTCCTTTTTTTTCTTTTAACCTTTTTCCTTTTTTTCCTTTTTCCTTTTTTCCTTTTTTCTTTTTCCTTTTTTTCTTTTTCCTTTTTTCCTTTTTCCTTTTTTTCTTTTTCCTTTTTTCCTTTTTCCTTCTTTTCCTTTTTCCTTTTTTCCTTTTTTTTCCTTTTTCCTTTTTTTCCTTTTTTCTTTTTCCTTTTTCCTTTTTTTTCCTTTTTTTCCTTTTTTCCTTTTTTCCTTTTTCCTTTTTTTTCATTTTTCCTTTTTTTCCTCTTTCCTTTTTTCCTTTTTTCCTTTTTCCTTTTTTCCTTTTTCCTTTTTTCCTTTTTCCTTTTTTCTTTTTTCCTTTTTTTTCCTTTTTCCTTTTTTCCTTTTTTTCCTTTTCCTTTTTTTTCCTTTTCCTTTTTTTCCTTTTTCCTTTTTCCTTTTTTCCTTTTTCCTTTTTTCCTTTTTTCCTTTTTTTCCTTTTTCCTTTTTTTCCTGTCTCCTTTTTTTCCTGTCTCCTTTTTTCCTTTCTCCTTTTTTTCCTTTCTCCTTTTTTTCCTTTTTCTTTTTCCTGTTTGGTATCTTGCCTTCCAGAGCTACACTTATTCCTGTCTTTCCATATAGAATCTGTGGAACAGAATTTGTTGTAGGCAGTGAGAAAATCAAATTTGATAATCACTGATAGATTCAATGTATTTCCATAACTCACTACGCTTCTCCAAAAGATTTCATGGTTTCACTGATGAAGGGGGCTGAAGCTCCATCTGGACAGGCAGAGTTAAAATCATGTCATTATAAAATGATATAATTCAAAGAAATATTAGAAGCCAGCAATACTGCTGTAAGAATTGTAGTGAAATTGCTAATATCTGGATGAGCCCGGAGTCTAAAGACCTTAGAAACCACACATATTCTGGTGAAGGGTCCAAGGCCACAAATAGAAATATTCTGTCTAAAAACTATGAGGACTTCAGACTTAGGAATTCTTGCTGTTGAACGCTTTTTGGGGGGGATGGTGCAGAGACCTATTCCAAATGTTTTCATAATGGCATGTTTTACCAGAGCCTGTAGCAAGGTTGGCTAGCATGAATATCAGGATGAAAAAAATCCCTATCCACACACATAAAAAATCCTGCAAGGTTTTTAATGTTAGCAAAATGAATCTCCCATGTCTTGTGCCAGCACAACTTCATAAACTGATGTTCACACTTTTTTTTTCTTTTAACTGATTTTCCAAATCTGAAACAATAAGGAGAAAAGGAATTTTGCTGCTGAATTCAAGCACAACCGGGTGTTATCCAGAGGCTAAATTCTTTTCCTGCTTAACATAAGAACATAATAAGAACATAAGAGGCATACTGGTTCAGAACAAAGGTCAGTGTAGCCCAATATCCTGGCTCCAACAATAGCCATAAGTGGGTATGAAGGGAAGAGTAGAGAACTGGCCTTGCATATCTGATGCCTCCCCCTAAGTATGCTCCCAGCTCTCAGCAACTCACAGCTGAAGAATTTCCTGAAATGGGTGTAGTGCTGGTGTTTGAAAGCCCTCTATCCATTTCTGTTCTGTGGTCTTGCCCAGCCTCCCCTTGAAGCTACATAAACTTACAGTATTTACTAACTGGCACCTAGATTTTGTGGCAAAAAGTGATTAATGTCATTAGGGGCTCGAGGAGAATACTGTCACTGTATCTTCATTAATACAATGGTTCTAGAGCAAATCTGGTGATTTACAGGTATACGATGAGAAGTGAGGATACGTTCAAATGATTACTGTGTTTTCTTTAAAATATATATGCAGGCATTGTGAACTGAGATGAAAAAAAAAAGAGTGGGGTTTGGCAGGGTAGGACACTAATAAACTGTTGATAAAAGACGAGCCTGTGGGCTGAATGAAGAGATACTCAAACTGTTCAGGCAGGATGCTAGAGGCAAAGAAATAGGTGATTACCTCTGAATGATGCAGTTCTGAATAAGAGGAGAATAACTGACAGAAGCCTATAGACATTTTTCACCCTTGTTGAGGAGTAGGTGGACATGAAATGTTATACCTATTCAGTGGCAAATTCCAGTTAGATTGCTCTCAGACCAGATTACAATAGATTCTTGCATCTGTCTTCCTCAATTTTTCAAACATTTCTTTTTCTTCTTTTTTTTCAGTGACATTTATCCATTGTTTATAATTACATAGATTAACTCTCTGAGACCATGCCATTCATTTATATTCCCCCATACTTGACAAATATGCAAAATGAACCAAATGCAAAGATATATACAACAAATCTTCCTGACTGTAAGTGCTTGCAAACAACAAAGGCACTTGAATATTCTGATGACAGGGCTTGTATAAGGACCCACGTGGCTAGACAGAGCAAATCTTTTATTTTCTGTGCCTACTGTAACCAGCCGTATCTCCCGCTGTTCTGAATCACTAGGTTCAAATCATTGGCTTCCAAGAATCCCGTGGTTGGAAATGTTGAAGACAGGAAAACTCTAATGGGTCATTTTGGACAGCCTCCTGCCAGGACATGATTATTCCCTCCGGAGCTATGTTAGCGCTTGATGAACAGCAACACTATCCACAAATGAGGCAATGTTGTCCAAAACAAAGATGAGCAGAAAGAAGATACTGGTGAATATGGTCAACAGACGCCTTCCTCTGTAGCCTGTGCTTTTATTCCATGTTGTCTTCAATTTTATTCCTTGCATTGGAAAGACATGGAAAGAAAGTCTTGTTTGAAAAGCCCCAGGAGAAACCAAACTCCTGGATTTATTAATTTGTGTTGGTTTCATTGTGTTTGAGTAGTGAGGAATATTCTAAGGTAACCACATGCTTCTCAGGCATCTGCGCATTTTCTGTAACATGTGGGGTTCTTTTCTATGAGTGTATGTATGGATTTTGTAGGGTGGGAGATGTTCTGTTACCTATTAGTAGATTCGGTGTGTCCCTCAAAGGATGTCTCATTTGATAAACGGATTGCACCTGGTCCCTGGTAACTTATGAATCCACACTAACATTATTAACTGGCTATTTTTCCAATGAGATGTTTTAATAAGATTGTTTCAGTGAGAGTGGGGTCTATAATCTAAATTTCCGTGGCAGGAGAGTTATTTTTTGGAGTGATGGTAAACGTCTTTGTTGCCTGAACAAAGTGTCAAAAGAAGTGGAGATATTTTTAAACCAACCTGGAAGAGGATGTTGGATCTATAGTTGGTAAAAATATTCTGATGGGGTGAGACCCAATTGAGGAAGGGGATTCTCAGTGCTAGTCTTTAGTGTTCACTTTTAATGAAATTTTCCAAGGTTTTAGTATCAACATTCTCGATCTGCAAGTCCTTTAGAGTCCTTATTGGTTTCTGCCTATGCCCACGGCAGTAGCTATGAATGTTTTTATCTAATCTACTTGGTGATGAAGCTGTATTCAATTTCATCTCATGATTAGATCTTTGCAATACACCTACATCCTGTTACATCACAAGACTAGAGCCAAACCAGAGCTGTGGTTTATTGGTGAAGGGGTGTTACATGAGCAGCCTGCATTGTCTCCGCTCCATTACTTGAAAAGAATTTTTTACTGCAGTTTTCTCCTTAAATAGTTATGATCCTTGCTAGAAACCATCTCCCTTTTTGTGTGATTCTGCTTCAGTGAAGATGAGATGATGTGCCTTCAGGGATCAGGAACCTGTCAACCTTGACTCTGATAGGTGGCTCCTTGGCCAGTGGAGCTCTGCATCGTATAGTCTCTGCAGAGCTGTAGGCTCTCAGGTGACACTGTAAAGCTCAAGTTTACTCAAGATTTAGGGAGAGTGGGGAGACACCAATAGGGTATGATAACAGCAAGGCATTTTTGTGTTCTGTATGGTAAGGATTTGCTAGTATTTTTGCTCTGATGATAGCCAGTGATGACTCAACATGAGTCTAGATAGGTGTATTTTTATAGTCTGAAATAATAAGTGAGAAACACTCTATGCCCAACCACAAATCCTTCTTGAAAGTCAATTTCTCCATTCTACCTGTGTTACACCTAATGTGCTTGGGGTTATACTTTCATGTATGTAAATATATTATTCGTAAAGAAAATCAAAATGTATGTGTGAGAGAGATGGTGTTTTCTGTTGCTAGCTAGCAAGGTTTTGTAGTTCTCCAATTCCAGTTGCACGTATATTTAATGTAGTAGGTAATATTTAAGACTGAGTGCTCTATTTTCTACATCTCTTCTGCGTTTCTTTTGCTGCTTCCCTGGCAAAGCATGACAGAGATACATGATGCACATCCTCTAGAGGCTCATGACCAAGGAAAAGTTGTTTCCCTATAAAAGAATTCTTCTGTGTCAGTGTCAGAAGAAGTCAGATTTTCTTTGGTTGGTTAAAGAGCTACATGTCTTACGTTAAAGCTAACAGCCCTTTAATTTAGGACAACATCTAAATTCGGAATATTCTGCTTCCCTCTCCTGAAATGAACACAGATATGAATGGGACATAGGTACTTGGTGTCCTGAAATGAAACACTTTCCTCAAAGCCCAGGTAGAGTGGAGTAACAGGAAGGATGGGGCAAAGGTTTAATGCTCTGGTGACTCAGGATGTGTGCAGAGGGGACAGCCTGGATAATTCTACTGGAGCTCCAGGAGAATCTACAGAGCCTATCCAGAACCCACTGCTACCGGTGGCAGAAGACCCCACTCATTCAGCAGGAGCAGGCTCAGGCCCAGTGTTTGTAAAATGTAGGCTCATTATCCCCAGGTTTCTTACACAAAGATGATTGCTGTAATATTTTATATGACTTTCCTCTGAACTGACTATTCATATTTGTTGAGCAGAATTGCTCGTTTTTATCCTTGATGCAATTACACAAAGTACCTTTTCTTTTCCTTGTCTTTTTAGGTGGGATTTTCTGTCAGCATGTTTTATTTGTGAAATAGCATGTGACACTGATGGATCTTCCCCTTTCCTTTCTTTTTGCTGAAGGAAAACACCTGCAGCATAGAACAGCCGTGGCAAAGTCAAGTAAGAGCCTGTGTGCTGCGATGTGCTGCAGTAGTGAATATATTCTAGTGTACACTGAGCAGCATAAATATGTAAATATTTTACAACGTTTGCTTACATATCCTACCTCTTTTTTTTCTTGCAGAGCATACACTTAAAATACACACATCAAGTTACATATGCCTGGTATAGTGGCAGCAGAACCTGCTCTGTTAATAATAATACTGAATATGTAAATCCTCCCACTCTTTATAACCAGTGCTGTGGGTTGCATTTACTGTAAACAAAGATGTATTTTGGGGGGCAGTTGGTTTGAGTTTATTGTTTATGTAAATCTCTCAGAATGTGACATAGCCTGATAGCTTCCTATGTTGTGCTGATCCACATTTTAGGCCAGCAGCCAAAGTATTTTATCTTTTACTTCATTATAGTGATCTTCCAATTAGCTGTGGTCTGTAATACCCTGATTTTGGTGGCAGTGGTTTGGGGAGGATTGTTTGATAGTTCTGCTCGAGAGGCAAAATGAGGGGCCTTATTATAGAAAGTGCAGAGGTTGTGCAGTAGCTGAGTTCTGTTGCAAAGTTTGCCGATAAGGGAAAACTGGCCCTTGAGCATCCATTCTATTCTGTATATTAACACTTCTAATCTGCACTGCTGATAAAACTGCAAGCCATTTGCCTTTGGAGGAATTAGTTCTGCCTCACTTGTGTAACCAGGCGATGGTGATTAACCTTTAAACTGTCCAATATTCTCAGCAGACTCCTGCTCCAGATTAGAAACTATTTAGTTATGACCAACTAAATTAACAACATTCCCTCCTCTGAAGAATAAGATTTGGAAGGTATGCTTTTTAAGGTGGAATGTGGATAGTGTCCTTACTTATTCACCACTGTTGCTACATAAAATGCATTTGTTGTTTAAGAGGGGAAAAAAAAAGGAGAGAGGGAGATTGATTTCAGATTGAAACAATCTACACTTAGTTATGTACAAGGGGCAATATGGTTGAATTTGGCTTGGGGGGCTGGTTTAGATGGCTGAGACCTTCTTTCTCACTTCCCATTCTTAAATAGAACTTATGATGCAGAGGATAAAATGGGCAGGATGGTGCTCTGGTATGGGCAGCAGTTTAGGAAAAAGATTTCCTTCCTTGGAAATGAAAGGCAATTATCTCAGTTCTTCAGAGGAGTAATTTTTGGAAGTTTACTAACCTTTCTGTCACAATCAGGCAAAACAAAAGGTTTTGTACGCGGTGGCTGCAGACCGACCCATCCAATGGACTTTAGCTGGCTGTGATAACCTAGTACTGTACCATTGTACCTATGTATTTTAAATGTGTAATTTATCAATTGAAGCATACCCTTCAATACATGTGCCATAAAAGAAAAGAGTGAGGGCAATTATGTAATAGTATAGTGTTTGTCTGCCGTGCCTTAAATCCCCATATTGTTATTCCTCACTGAATAACAAATACAGAATCCCTGTTAGCAATGTTTTCCGTTTTACCAGTTTTATATTAGCTGCCTCCTTAAAAATTGCTAATCTAGATACTACATTAGTAGAATGTCAGTCAAACTGCAATCCACAGTGAAACCTTCTTCATATACCAATTTAAATCATTCATGGTCCTTTCTTTGGCATTATTCAAAAGATCATAATAATTTTCTTGTGCCCACAGCACAAAAAAATCAATTATTTCCCCACAAAGACTTGAAAGTACTTAGCGAGTGCTGTAAGAAAAGCTGAGGGTTATATCAAATTGAAATTGCACTCATTACACACAACACAATTAGTTGCCACTAGTCTGGCCGGTGCTTTAATTCTGAATGGCATATCTTTATTATTACAGAAACAAGCATGCAAATGGCATTGTTCAGGATTTGCAGAAATCAATAGGATATAGTGCTGTGTGTTTGGTGGCCACTGTCACTCAGTCTGCTGTGGATTTGAGATAATGTGTGTATTTGAATTAATGAAGGGAACGTGAGACATCATAAGTGACACCCAAATAAAAGAAATGGGTACATGATATTTGTAATTATTCTACTTGTGTTTTTGTTGTAAATACTTGTGCTTTTTGTTTTTTAATCAAAGGATTAATTGCATTTTAATAAGGCATTATGATTTTCAGAGCTTTAGTTAATTAAAACTTGTAGTATATAATTATGAAGTGATGCTGAGATTTGTCTAAAGATCACCCATACATTTAGAATATGTATATTTTTCCTTGTTAAGCAGTTGCTACATTCTGGGGGGGGGGAGGATGAATGTTTTTAAATGTTTGAAAGATGATGGCAGTTCCAAATGGATTTCTATAAGTGGCAGCTAGGATTGTAGATTATGTAGTTGGAAAAATTAAAGTGGAGGAACTACTGGGGTTGGAAACACTTTTTGGCTGTAGTGCTGGAACATTCATTTGCACAAATGTTAGCTTTCAGACGCAGGAGGAAGAACAGATGTATTTGTTCAATGTATCATATCATTCCGCCCATTAGGTCCCAGTGAAATTGCTGCAGTTTGAAATTCTCAGTGTAGGCCATAGATACTCACTGGTGGTGGTGCGTGGTGAAGATTATTTTCCATGTGACAAAAGGGATTTAAAAGGAAGAAGTAAAGGGGGGGGAGAACATACAGGCAACTGTATGTATCGGCTTGTTTCCCTAGCTGAGACAAATATTCCTGGTACAAAGCTTTATTCACTCACAGTCTAACCTGGGACATACATATATATGAAAAAAACCTGTTCCCTGTGGGAGTATGTTATATATGGATCGATAGACTAATTGCTAGATAGATAAAACAGAGTAAAACAGTATTAGAAAGTTAAAATCTTAACATTACAAATGAAGCTTTCCTTTGGCAGTATTAAAAAAAATAATCTCCTCTTATATTTATTCCATTCCTCTCATAAGTGTGTATTAGAAATAAAAATTAATGTTGCTCTTTTAATATGAAGAGGGAAAAATATTGCTGTTGAATGGTATGGGGGGGTAATTCCTGTTAACTGTAAAATTAAATACATATTTATGCAGAATATGCAGTCCAGCATAGTCATATATTCCTATCACCTAACCCCATGAACTAGAAAGGGTTTCACATGTTCTCTCCTGAAGTAAGGGTCTTAAATTAGACCTCAGTATTTCCTACTTGGAAGCTTGGCTCTTGCAGTGCACGAATATATATTTATTTATTATTCCCTGCCTTGCAGATACTTTTTGAGACAAACCCACTCAAGAGCTTAAAATGTTCCAGGCGAGGTGGGGAGAATGAAGCCTGCAGAGAGGGCAAAAGAATAAGAATTCTCAAAAATTTACGTTGACTTCAGCACTCAAACCAGGATTTTATTGGGCATCTATAAATGGATTTTAAGTAGGATTTTCCCATGTTTTCTCCCAAAGCTGATTTAAAATCTAATATTATTAGACTGGTCACAGCCTTCATATTTTAACTGTCAAACCCAAAGCCTGAAAGGTGATTCATTCAAAGCTTGCTAAAATATTTGCTCAGCAGCACAATAGTGTGTGATGGAAAATAAACTCCTCTGGAGCATCTCACCCTATCAGCCATGGCCTGCAGCAGGAAAAGAATGAGGGAAGGTCAGTCAATTATGTGTGGTAATCACCGTAAGCATATTATCTGAGACACAGATGTCTTCCCTGACCCCACACGACATAGCTATTAACCCCACAGTAGTATAAAAATGGGGAGGAGGAGGAGCCGGTCCCCTAGGTAAACCAGACCTTTTCAGTCCAGGCTTGTCCAGCAGCTCGGGGTAGTCGTGGCGGCGAGGGCGCTGTCGTGGGGAGCTGGCCCCGTGCACGGCGGGCGGCACGGCCGCCTTTCCTCTTCAGGGACCTTTCTATAGACCTAGTCATGTGAGATAAATAGTTGCATCATCGGAAAAATGCAACGGGCAAATTGACTCGTGAGATATTTCGGGAGCGTAAACAGCCCTGGAATGCCGGGCGCTGCCCGTGTTTTTACGGGAGCAACTTTTGTGTTCCTGAGTACGCTTGCATAGTTGGTGCATTGGTGCTGATGAAGTGCAATACCACTATCATGCAACTGTCTAACACTTGTAGAAAGCAGAGATGATTTTCTCATTACACTGAGTAACGTGCTGATAACCGCACACAGCTCCTTTTGGGTTCGAGTTCCTTCTATATTTACTTCAGAAAAATGGTCGGCTGCTTATTCAAGTGAAAGGGATTTTTTTCCAGTGCAATTGTTCAAACACATCAAGCAAAAGCAAAGCAGAGTTGGAAACTGGCTATTTAAACTGTTGAAGCTCAAGGCTCATTTAAAAGTTTGCATGTAAAATTTGGTTGCTCTGTAGGAAACATGCATTAGTGAGAGATGAATTGTCCTTCACCAGCTCTCACCTTCCTAACACCAAGCACGAACCCTGAAAGTAGGTCTCTGTTTCCTGTAGCCTTTGGAAAATCTTTTCTTTAGGTGATGTTTTATTACCTTTGGGGAGGCCATTTTCTGTTTTTCTACCAAAAAGAGGAATGACCATTAAACAATACAAGCTATTGCAGTGCTGCACAACATACAGTGCAAAAGAGTCCATGACTGACCAGATTTGTGTTTTTTCTCCTTTATAAGTAATTGATTTTAATGCATTCCCATCCTTGTAACTGAGACAGGACTTGGCCCAGTAAATACCAGAGCATGTTTTGCTCATCAGATTGGCCATAGAATGTAGCAGAGGAATCCCCAGGTTTCCTTTCGGACAAAGGGAATTATTAAAAGATACTTTCTTTGATAGTGTCTCCTTTCCCAGGGTTAATCACCATGTGAGTGAGCATTTGCACACATTGCTGAGCTACAGGTTAGAGACAAGGAAAGTGGTGGGTTGAGCACTTGGCTAAGCCTAACCACCAGACTTCCAGGAAAGGAAAATCTATTAGAGATAAAGGATTTTGACGTGGTGCAGGGCAAACACAGGTTGCCTCTGTCAGTGACCTCAGGGGTGACCTGAAAGCAGATGAAAAGGATGGTGGAGATGACTCACTAGGATAACTGGCTGGGCTGAAGGGAGTGTTGCAGGTTCATATCATAGCCACCGCTGACCAAATTCAGCTGGAGTCCAAAGAAGAGATTTGGGCTATCCCCCCCATGTGTAAATCCCCTGTGGGAGTCTTGGCAATGTGGAAAGATACCATTTGCACTTCCTCCTATTATAGTGGTCAGTCTTGAATTTTGGTCCTCTTATAGTCCCTTATTAAACTTCCATCCTATTGTCATTTTAGCCCTATGTCTAAATGTTGCTAAGTAACCTCCTGTGTCAAATACTTTTTCTGCCAGGAGAGAATCTTGCATCAGTCACCTATTGTGACTGCCAGATTAGATACCGTAATGTGCTCGACATGGGACTGCGCTTTACTTCTATCTGGAAACTGCAGCTGATACAGGATTTGGCAGGCTACTTGTTAAGCAGCATCTTTTCCTCTAGCACATTAAAGCAGCGCTGAACAACTTGTACAGTTCATTTACTGGTCCCTGGCTAACTTTTAAGTTTAAATTTTGTTATTTTACCCTTTAGCTCTAAACCCCACCTGTTTGAGTGAGCAGCTCTGCTGAAGAGCACATTGTTCTGTTTGCAAGCAGTGGAGGCTGTAAGTTAAGACCTTACCTCTGAGAGAAAGCAAGCAGTGGTTTCTATGAGCTTCTTTTATCATGTTTTCCATGGGGCCAAATAAAAGCCAAATTCTGACTACCACGTAAGTAGAAATCAGGAGTAATGCTATTTAAATAATATGTAATTAGGCTAAAGTGAATGAGAATGGAACTTGGTCCCAATTGATTATATATTTCAGGTCAGTTAAAATAATTGAACAGCCTTTTCTGCCTCAGCTTAATGCAGTGGTTCTGAAGAGTTCATCACCTGCTCTTGGCTCTCTTTCCTGTTTGTAGCTGATAAATCATCTTTAATGTGTTTCCTAATATTACTTTTCCACGTAAGCATTGGTTATAGTTCTATGTGACAGCAACAGAGGAGGGGGGAGAGGGAGGGAGCAAGCAATAATTTCACTGACACAGGAACTACTCTAAAAATGCATTAATGTGTCTTAAGTATAAGTGAAGTATACTTTGAAATATATATTGCCTATAGACAAAATTAAATTTCACTAAAGAAAACCAGAGGTAGACAGAACTTCCATAACGTCATTCCTGGGTACATATTGAATAGTAGCAATGGTTTCCATCAATATATTTGTAAAATATTATCAAGTTTCACGTATAGATAGCACATGTCTAATTCAGTCATGCTTTGTCAGTTACTCTTTTCTTATATCATAGTCTATTTTTCTAGAGGAAATATTTGATAAAACTCATAGTAATTTTAAATACACGCTTCACCATGTTAATACTTGTCACTTTTATGCTCTTCAGTTCCTCCTTGTTGATATTCTTTTAACCTTGTATGTCACAGCAAAAGCAGAGCATCTTCCATAAAGCTGCGGGAAGTCAGAATTTAAATTGGCTTTTATCCTCTAAATTTTGTCCTAACTATAAATAATCATAGCTGGCAAAATAATTTAAAAAAAAGAAGAAACAAAAATCCATCTTGCACCACAATTTTATCTTTTACCTAAAACCTTCTCCTGAATTATGAGAATAACCTGAGAACTGTTGTTAATTCATCCAAGTAAACCTATAGGTGGTTTAGACACCAAGGAGCCCAAAAGTACTGATTTCTTTATGGTACAGAAGCAAATAGGTCTCTATATACTTGATAAGCATACTGGTTGCAGGGAAACTAATCACTCACATGTGGTGACTTAAGTGTGAGAAACTGCACATATGAATTGCGTTCGGCACGCACGTTTGACCACTTCACCTGCACACTGCAAACCACTCCATCTGCAGCATTGCTCCTCAGCTTCAAATACCTGCAGCTGAAAATACAATATGAAACGTGGTGTCCTGCCACTCTCACCCATTGCACTAGTTGGAAGGGCAGCATAAGGCAAGTCAAGTTTGGCTCAGTGACAGATAAGCTGCACTTTCACCTGCCTTTTTTTGTTTTCAATGTAGTTTGGGCTTCCAAATTATTTAGTTGCTTTTAAAAGGACTGATGTAGCAATATGTGTCAAGAGATGCGGAAAAAACATTTCCCATAAATGCGACAGTATGGTGATGAAAAGGTTTTGCACAGATTGCAGTGGTGTTTGCATGAAGCTTCCAAATACCAGAGAGGAGGGAACTTTTGTATGCTGTTTTTTGCATTGGATCTTGTAGGAGACACAAAGCACTTTGTAAGTGAGATGTCCCAAACCAAAGCTAAAGTTGTGCTAGTGTTGGTTATACCTACAGTGTAAGCAGGAGTTTGTTTCTACAAACTGATGTTTACAATTCTCTGAAAGGACTGGGAACCTTTGGGAAATGCATGGATAATTACTAAACACAGAGGTCTGTATTTAGACAAGGTTAAATATAGGTATAAAGTCAAAAATATGTCTTTGCATCAACCCAAAATTTCTCTGTATTAAACACTTCTGCCTACATCTGTCAAATTGTTT